GCAAGAGGAGAGAGGAGGGATGCGGGAGGAGGGTAGAAGGGAGCAGGGCCCGAGGGAGGAGGGCGGGGTGGGCCAGGGCGGGATTGCCTAGCACGCGGTCGGGCGGGGAAGGGTACCTGAGCCCACTGTTACCAAAACAGCCGGGGGCCCTTGCCCCCTGGGCAGCCCAGTGGGGTTCTGCCCCTCGTGCGTCAGTTTCGTTGAACCGACCCCCATCCCCATCCTAATCCTCCTCGAGACCCCTACCAAATTACCACCCCGGTTGGGGATACACTTGTCGAAACCCGAAGGGAACGGCCTATATCCCCATCTAGGGGGGTAAATCGGCCAGTGGGGCCCAGGCCACGCCGCTGGGGATGGGTATTGGTTAAGATGCTCAGTGCGGCCGGCGGGTGGGCTTGCCTGTCCCGTCCTAGGTCTCGAGAGCTTGGTCTGTGGTGTGTGAGGGAGCTCCGAGGATCGCCGGCCTCGGGGTGGAGGGTGGGCGCGGATGCAGACGGGACGTCCCCGAGCGCGGGCCACGACTCGCAAAGTGCCTACGCGCAAGCTTCCGAGAAAACACATGTCTGCATCGATGTGATGATGGCAGATCCCCCATTCTGCACGAGCGAAATGTGTGCGGAAAGAATGGGTACAATGCCCAACAGCATCTCCTGTTCATTTTGAACAGGACTCGCTGTCCGCGCCGCCGCAGCCTGTGTCCATTTGAGACAGAAGGCCGCCTGCCCAACAGCGGCCGCTGTTGGTTTGGGACAACATTTGTTGTTGGGCACTGTACCCATTCTTTCCGCACCCATTTCGGGCGTCCAAACCCATGGCGGATCCAGGCCAGTTGCGAGCAGTTAGTTGGCGAGTAGCAGACGGCGCCCGTGCAGGATGGTGGGCAAAACATTCAGCGATCGCCCGGCGGGGGCAGGGAGCTCTGGCCCAGAGGGGCTGCCTGCGGGAGGAAGGGCCGCGGCAGCCAAGACGGGACCCAGAGAGAAAGAGAGAGAGAGAGAGAACCAAACAAAACAAAAAGAGAAAAGAAAGAGAGAGCGATAGAGAGGGGGACGGAGAGGAGAGGAGGGGCAAACATCAGGGAGATTCCAGCCGTGGGTGGGTGGGTGCAGCTCCAGGGCCGGCGGGTGGATGTGGGACGCCGCCCCAGAGGCTTTGGTAAGGGGGGGGGGGGCGCGAAGCAGCGTGGGGGTGCGATGATGTCGCAGGCCTAGGGATTGACACCAACACCAATATCGGCGGTGTGCATCCACCGAGGGAAGAAGATCCCGATCTCGGTGATGGTGGTAGCATTCTGGCTTCCAAGGTGGCCGAAGTATTACCACCAACGGCGAAATCCAGGATCCATCTTCCCCCTGTGGAGGCAGCCCCCTGTGTTGGTGTTGGTGCCCATTTCCAGACCTCCAATGATGGAGTCGAAGGGGAGCGGTGTTCCCACTGACGGACTCGACGCGTACCGGGGTGCAAAGAGGGCGGCGACGAGGAGAGGCTCGTCGAGGCAACAGGCTGGGCCAACTTTGGAGCTGGAGTTCTGTCGTCCTGCCATGCTCGAAGACGAAATCGGCACAGACATAGACTTTCGGCGCTCCGCGCAGATTTCTTCGATCTGCGCGGGCCCCCCCCTGGCGGTGCCTTTGGCGCCGCCCCTGGCGCGCTCCGGGTCCAGCTCAGATCCGAGAAATCCGCGCGGGCCGTCAAAAGTTGATGCTTGTTTCTCTCTTTGCATTGTTTGTTGGCGCTGCAATTTGTCTTGCCTTGCAGAGGGCTCCAAGGGATTTCCAAGGGGTCCCCAAGCGGGTCCCGAGAGGGTTCCCGCTGAACAGGATCATCGTCGGTCAGCTTGGGTGTCTCCCCCAGGCCTTCCAGCCCACCGGATAGGGTGACCATTTTTTAACTTGCATGTTTGCCGGACCATCTATCCCACCGGATGGGATACCCAGCTCCCAGAGGGAGGCAAGGAGGAGGATGAGGAGGATGAGGAGGAGGCGAAGAAGGGGGAGGAGGAGGACGACGACGTCGACGACGACGATGACGACGAGGATTAGGAACAGCAGGAAAAGCATAAGGAAGAGATGAGAGGGCTCCCGAGGACGAGCACAACGATGACGGGGAAGAAGAGGACGGGAAGGAGGAGGAGGAGGAGGAGGCGGAGGAGGTGGAGGAGGAGGAGGAGGAGGAGCACTGTCTCTGACGGTCCCAGTGGCCCGCCGACAGTTTCGGAAAGGCCGAAATCCAACAAAAGTTACGTCGTCGCGCTGTCGTGTTCGTCCTCGACTTCCTCGAAGTCGTCGCCATCGTCGTCATCATCCCGCCCTCGGCGTCGCCGCAGCCAGGGCTGGGACCGAAAAAGAAAGCGCTGCTGCGTCAAGTCTGGCTGCGGTGGAAAGGCCATATCAGTTCTTGTGCCCCAAATCAGAGCAAGGCGCTGGCGTATAACATTGTTTCGCCTCGAGCGGTTTAGAACCACACTTGACTCCCACGCGGAATCCTAAGCTCAAGCTCGACCAGCGCCACTACAGCGCAACAAAAATTGAAATGCAGAAGAAATTGCAAAGCAAGACAAACTGCCATGCAAAACAAACACGTGTGTTCGTGTGGTCATCGCCGACATGTGCGCTGCAACCCTCCCTGAACCTCCCCAGACCACGCTTGGCTCTTATGCGGAATCCGAAGCTGAAGCTCGAGCAGCGCCACTACAGCGCAACAAAACACTGCAATGCAAAAAGAACATGCAATGCACGTACAACTGCAATGCGAGAACAGCTATTGTCGCGTGGTGGTCACCTACACGTGCGCTTCCACACTCCCTGAACCTGCCCAAACCACGCTTGGCTCTCACGCGGAATCCTAATTAGGCTCAAGCTCGAGCAGCTCAGGTGAAGCTTAAGGCTCAAGCTTTCAGCTTGCTCTTTTAAAACTTGGCGTTCTGCCGTGCGCTACAACGGCCAAAAACTTAATTGTTTCTCCGCTCATCTGCCCTTGCATCTCCAAGGCTCCAGGGGTCGTCATGAGCCACGCCTAGCGTCGTGGCATGCGCTGCCTAGCACCATTCCCTGCGCCCGGCGGGTCCAGCGGCAGGGCTGAAGAAAGAGAGAAGGAGGGGGGTAGACGATAGACGGATAGGGGGCGGACAGAGATGGGCCTTACTTGCATCAGACGCACTCCTCCTTCTTCCCTCGAAGAAGAAAAAAGGCCATAAACATATGTAACATAAGTCTTTAGCGTTCCGCGCGGATTCCTTGGATCTGCGCTGGACCCCTCTCCCTGGCGCGCTGAGCGCGCCAGAGCCGGCGCCGGAGGCGCCGCCGGGGGGCCCAGCACAGATCCAAGAAATCCGCGCAGAGTGCCAACAGTTTTTGTTTATGGCCTTTTTCTTCTTCTATACTTGCATCAGACGCCCTCTTCTTCCTCCCTCATCCTACAGACGAGACCGATGATAAGGATGGGTAACCTTCCCAAGGGTACCCCTGCATCGTTGCCTCTTCGGTCCATCCTCGACGACTTTCGATGGCCAGCCCCGCGCGAAGAGCCTCGACATTGGCGCACAAGGGGCTCGCATCCTTACCGCGCATCCTCGCTATCATGTTCGACTGTACCTTTTCTCGGCGGCGAGCCCCGGGGGGAAGTGAGAGGGAGCGGTCCTTCTCATTTCTAGGCCTTCCCCGAGGGCACCGGAAGCCTCTCAGAAGGCCGGAGGGCTCCTGAGAAGCCTCATTGCCTTCTGAGAAGGCCTTCTCCTTCTCACTCCTCCCCCCTCGCGCGCCGCCGGTTCCTCCTCCCCCTCCCAGGAGGAAGCGCTGCGGGGCATGGGGCTCGGAGGGAAAAGAGGAGGAGGAGGAGGAGGAGCAGGAGCAGGAGCAGGAGGAGGAGGAGGACACGGGAGCTGGGAGCAGAGAGGGCGGGGCAGCCGCGGGGGGGGGGGGTTCTCGGGGGTCGAGGGAAGGGAAGGGGCCCCGGAGAGTCCAGAGGCGGCGGAGGAGCTCCCCAGCATCCGCCGCGGGGAAGCGCTTTCGCATGCGAACGCTCGCCTCGGGCCCAAAGTGCCCTCGGCTTCTCGCTCCGCTTTGGAGGCCGTGGGTTGTTTTGGAGGCCATCCATCGCGGTGCCCTCCACTTGCCGAGAACGAACAATGCGGAGTCTCATCGTTCGCGCTAGGAAGTGATTTCGGGCATCCAGGGGCTTCTTTGGGACATGGTGCTTACGGTTGCTAGACTGAGGTATCTTGTCAGGGTTGCCGACCCCGCCAAATGTCCCCCCCCCCCTTGGGAGATCCTGGGGGGCACCTTGGGCCAGGGGCACTTCTTGGCCACGCGCAGAAGGAGGTATGGGGGAGGGTGGGGAAGGCTTCTCAGAAGCACCCCTGCTTCTTTAGAAGGCGCAAGGAATTTTCTATAGATGTGAGGTCGGCGCCTTCGAAGAAGCAGCCTCCTTCTAAGACGCCTTCCCCCCTCCCCCCACTTGCCCCCTTGTGCGCGCCGCCAAACTTCCAGCCACACCCGAGACGTGCATCAGAGCACAGCCAGCACACCGGCCTCAAGGGTCGCCGCCATAGGGGCCAAGGCCGCCCCTTGGGCCGGGGGGTGATTTTCAAGAGCTCATGCCGATTCGTGTCGGGATCGGCTCGAGCCGCGCGGGGGAGGAGGGGGGGAGGGGGGTGGGGGGACGGCAAGGTACTGATACCTCGTGTGCGTCAGGGTGGCAGAGGTCGCCTCTCTCCTCAGGACACCCCTTGGAGGAAATTGCACTCTGGTGGGTGCGCGTGCCAAGAGTCGGTGCCGAGTGTCGGCGCCGAGAGTCGGTGCCGAGTGTCGTTGCCGAGTGTTGATGCCGAGTGTCGGTGCCGATCGTCGATCCCGATCGTCGGTGCCGATCGTCGTTGACACGCCGAGCGACGGCGCCGATCGTCGCTGACGCGGGGGTTCTTTAAAGAGAGCTGCCCCCCAGACACACACACACACAACCGCTCCCCGCACGGTGAGCGCGTGATCGATTATTTCTGGATGCACTCCAGTTTGGCTGCCAATATTTCCCCAGCCCGCATTGACGACGACGCGGTCTACCACCCTCATAGAGCCACATGGGTCGAGTTTCAGCAGCCTTGGTCGGCCTTTACCTACACCAAGCTCATCCGACCCCACAAGTTCCCGATCCCAGGAGTCAAGCCGAGGCACTTCGATCTCTCGTGCCCAGACGTGCCTGCAGGTTTCGACCCCGATGCGGTGCCTACCCAGGAGCTCCTGGACGACACCTGGGAGGCTTTCTGCCACGCCGCCGAGGAGGAGCTGATCCAGAAGGTGGGTTTGGACCCCAGCAGTCGGCAAGCCGATCAATGCCGAGGGCGTGGGGGGCCACCGCGCTTCAGGAAGTGCCCGTTGCTCCCGACCCACACCGAGGCCATCGCTTCGTACGGGGAGGCCAAGCGTTGGAGGTGGTTTGCCAACGAGTTGGCTTGGCTGGGCATCATTGAAGTAAAGCTTTTCAGCTACACGGGCGCTTCCGGCCTGGTCCTCACCACGTTGCACCAGCAGCGGCACGCCTCCATCCGCAAGTTGCGTGACCGCTTCAGGCACCACATGCTGTTAGAAGGCGTGGCTGAGCTGCAGGAGTTCTTCGAGGTTTTCACGTCTCGGGACCGCGGTTATGAAGACTTGCAGGAGCTCTCGGCTTGGCGCCTCAGCTGCAGTCAGTATGCCTCGTACTTGGAGTGGCAGATCGGCAAGGAACGACGAGATTCCTTCAAGCAGCGGTTGGAGGACGACTTCCCAGGCTCGCAGGGGCTCCTCCACAGGGTCACCAAGTGGCGCCAGGCTTGGCAGGCTCCCAAGGGCAGCATCTCCAAGAAGCTGCTCCCAGCGGCGCCTCAGGCCGCCGTGGACCAGGAGTTGCACGACTGGTCGAAGGTCTGGACCACTGGCTCAGGTTTCCCCAAGCCGTGGAGGGGCCTCCAGCAAGTCGCCGTCACGCCGCCCAGCCCTCACCACCTGCGCGGTTTGGCCCAGCGTTTCAGGGCCAAGACGGGGATTGGCGTGGACGGATGGCAACCCAAGCTTTGGGCCTACCTCACGGACGGCACGCTCTCGGTGCTCGCGTCATTGCTGGCCTGGTGCCAACAACTGGGGCGGTGGCCGTCCCAGGTCCACCTCCTGCTCGTTTTCATCATCGGGAAGCTCGATGGAGGGGGCCGACCCATCATTCTTCTACCTGGCCCTTGCCGAATCTGGGAGGCGTGGCAGCTGCCCACCATCAGGAGCTGGTTGGCGGCGCACCCCAGGAGCTACGACTACACGGCGGCGGGCCAATCATCGGAGCGTGCGCTGTGGAAAGCTTTGTTGGACGACGAGCTCGTGTTGGGCACAGGCATTCGTGCGGCCACGATGCTGGCGGACCTCGCCAAGTGTTATGAGAAGGTTCCGCATGAGCGTATGTGGTGGCTAGCAGCTTGGTGGGAAGGCCCGCTGGAGGTGGTCGCGCTCGCCCTGGAAAGTTTCGCCCTTGGCCGTGTCATTCGTCTCGGGGAGGCCTGCTCGGCGGAGGTCCTGTCCTCCACAGCGCTCCCAGCGGGCAGCCGTTTCGCGCCCACCTTCCTAAGGTTCTACCTCACGCTGTGCTTAGACGACCTGCTGGGGGTTTTCCGCTTCACGATCTACTTGTACGTTGATGACATCGCCCTGCGGGTCATGTCCACCGAGGCGCGCGTCTTGCACATGCTGCCGCAGGCCACGCGCTTGCTGTTTTGGATGCCGGAGTCCTTCTTGGGCCTGGAGGTAGCCCGAGCGCGGGACGGGGCGAGAGGCAAGTGCTCTTTCCTGCAAACGGCCACTCCGTCTTCAGGCTTGACGCAGGCCATGGCCGTCCTGGGAGTACCGCCCAGCACCTCCGAGCGGTGGCTCGGCATCGACTACGGTCCCAGCGTCAAGACAGAGAACCAGTCAGCCCCAGTCAGACACGCGCGGCTCAAGATAGCCAAGCAGCGTTGGCCTAAGATCCGCGGCCTTCCTCGTGCACGCGGGGGCAAGCTCAAGATGGTCGTGCGGCAGGGCCTCGGAGCCTCGGTCGCCTACGGCGCCCGTGTCCGCGGCACGCCCAGGCCCATCGTGCGTTTCATCCAGCAGAAGGATCGGGCCGTCCGCAGGGGCGCCACAGCTTTTACCTCCCGAGTCTTGCACGACGGCCTCGACCCCAGTTGCGCCGACACCCTCGTTCTGGCACCGCTGCTGGCTTGGGCGAGGGAAGCTTGGGACCACCCAGAGGGGCGGCGTGCGCAGGCCACAGCATGGGCCCGAGTGCAGCAACAGCTCGCGCTGTACATGGACGCCGACGCTCAGGAGTTGTGGTCAGTGGTGCGCGGCCCAGCGGGGGCCACTTCAGTCACAGTTCGAGCCCATGGTTGGAGCATGCCGTCAGCCTTCGAGATTGTCTTGCCTCCACGTGGCGGGGTGCTCCAAGGAGGGGACGTCCATCTTGATCTACTGCAGATTTGCCCCAAGTCGGTCGAGGCCGCCGTGCTTTTGGCCGCCCGTTCCAGAGCCCTGTGCCAGTGGGCGGCGGCTCAGCCCGAGCGGGCTGCGCTCCTGCCAGCGCCGTGGCTCACCCCAGCGAGGCAGTTGGTCAAGCGGCGCAAGCAGGACGGGTGGCTGCAACACCATGCCGACGCGGTCAAGAAGGCGGTGTTGGGCGGTTTCCCTTCGCAGGAGGCCCTTTTCTCTTCGGGCCAGGCGGACACTCCGTATTGCCAGCTTTGCGACGACACGACCTGTTTCGGCACCCACCAGCACTATTACTGGCGGTGCGGCAGCCCGACGTGTGCTACGGTGAGGGAGCAGCTGACGGCCCACGACGCGTCACCTACCTTCAGAGACGTCGGCCACCTGGGCGTGTCGGCCTCCTCGTCGGAAGCTTCAAGATGGTTGTGGGGGCGGGGTTTGCGGCGGACCCCATGTTACGGCTTGGCTTGGAGTCTACCGTCGCAGCGCACCCATTGGATCGTCAATGGCGCGGCCCCCGAGCTCACCGATGTGCTGGTTTCGGACGGATCAGTCAAAGGCTTGGATGACCTCAGGCACGGCGGCTGGGCGGCTTTGCAGTGCACAGCGGAGGCCGACGACGTGGTGCAGGGCCTGTACGGCCCACTGCCCTTTCCCGACCCCAGCTCGGTCCTGGCAGAGTTGTGGGGTCTCCTCCACGCCCTCAGGCATTCGGTCTTCATCACGGCCATCATCATTGACAATGCTCAGGTGGTCCAAGGCTTGGCTCGTGGCAGGGCATGGTGTTGTTCAGCGGCCAGGCCCTATGCGCACGTCTGGCTCGAGATCTGGGATCGCCTGGATGACATGGACATCCTTCCTGGCAGAGAGTTGTCGGTCATCAAAGTCGCCTCGCACATATCGCAGGCCAAACGCCTAGAGCTGCCAGAGGAGGTCCAGATTCACATGAGGCACAATGACTTAGCCGACGAATGGGCCAAGCAAGGAGCAGACCTCAGCGCGCCGCCAGAGTGGGCCACGTTGCAGGTCAAGCAGGAGCTCAAGGCCACCAAGCGCGTGCTCGAGTACATCGGGCACTTCAGGGTCCTCCTCGACGGGGTCAAGTTGGCGGAGCCTAGGCCCAAACGACAGCAGGGCCAAGAGGCCAACATTCCTCAGGCTGCACGACCCCAGGCTGGTCCCAGGCACCCGCACGTTCTGGAAGTGTGCCGCGGTTATTCCAAGTGCACCAACTGCGGCAAGGTTGCCCGCACTCGCCTCGCGGCCTTTCAGTTGCAGGAGTGCCGTGGTCGTCTCCAAGGGCTCCAGGGCAAGTTAGTCAAGAGTGCGGCCAAGAGAGGCAGTGTGGCGGTGCCTCTTCTCGTGGCGGCAGGCGCCGCCGCTCGGCCTGTGCGACAGCGAGCAGACCATGGAGATCAGGGTGAGCCTCGAGTAGAGCCCGACCCTGCGCCTGCCTCCCAGCTGGGCCCCGACCCGCTGTGGGCTCCTGTCGCAGCAGCCCGCGCGGCTCTTGGCAGGATGGAGCGGATACCTGACGGCCCTGTGTGCATGGGAACCCCGCCAAGCCAGCCACACATCACGCCCGAACAGCAGCATGTCCGTTCCATCATGGACGATGCCATCATCTGGGCGTCTTTCTGGATCGATCGTTTCGACGTGGCAGGCTTCACCAACGAGTGGGACTACCGTACGTGGTGTTCGGAATATCTTGAAAGGTTTCTCAGCTCGGCGGCGTGGGCACCAGTTCGAGAGCATCTTCTACGTAGCAACCCTGGCCGCACTCTCGGGCAGGTCGTCGACGACCTATGCGCCACCTCTTGGACGCGTGCCGAACCAGCCCGTCAGGCTCAGTTCGCCAGGGTACGGCCTGACTCGGGTTTGACAGCCAGGCAGCGCCGTCGGCTGCTTCGGCATCACTTCGATGTGTTGAACCAGGTCAGGGAGCGTTTCAGGGATCTTCTTGGAGATCGTGCCCCGCCTGAGACGGCCTCCTGGCACCAGTGGGTCTTCGAGCCCCTCTCCTCGGATGACGACCAAGGAGGTGATGCGGCAGGCCGCGCCGCCGAGGACGCCCATGGCTACGACGATACCGACGAGTTCGCGGCCCTCAGCGTGCACAGCGACCTCGAGGTGGTGGAGGCAGACGGCAAGGCCACGCAGGCCACAGGCACCCAGGCGTCAGAGCGCGAGTCGTCGCCCAATCCCGACCTCGCCCCCGGGGCACTCCAGCCACAGGAGGAGGGAGCTCCAGCGGGAGGGGCGAGGCGGGAGGGTGTTTTGCGGATCCGCAGTGCGGCAGCCACCTGTTCCCAGGTCGTGGACGACGGTGCTACGGCTGGCGCTGGGGCAGCTCCTGTTCCCACGGTGCCGCCTGCTGCTCAACCCGCTGGCGAGCCTGGAGCTGATCAGGGCGAGTTGGCCAGCTCCCTGGACGTGGACGGCAAGGCTGCCACCCAGGCAGCGGCCGCTGTGTGCTCCGCCCCCTTGGCGGCACACCAAGCTCGCGCTGGCCAGGGCAGCCTGAAACACGGTGGTAAGGCCCCAAGGACTGGTTCCTCAGCATCCTCGGCGGCGGCGGCGGGCTCTGGCCAGGGCGGCCTGGCACCGCTGGCGGGGTCCCCGCCGCCCTCGGCTGGGGCTGCGGCGGCCTCGGAGCCAGAGCGGGGTGCGCGCGGGCGGGCGGCCTCTGCCCAGCCCGCCAGGAGTGGCCAGGCGCTGCCTGCGACGGCCAGAGCCGCTTCATCGGAGCCTCGGCCACATACGGTCGAGATCATTGGCAACTTCGTGGTCTGCGTCGTGTGCGGTTCCTACTACAGCTCGGTGGCCAGGAACCTCGGCGGGCCGCGCAGGCGGCTGGACCCGCGCGACCCAGGCGACAAGGAGCGCCTCAGGCGCACTCGCCGCATCCAGCGCGGCCAGGACCCAAAGACTGGAAGGGATCTGAGTTGAGGCCGTTGTGCTCGTTCAATGATCTGTCTGGTCTCAGTGCGTGCGGCCCCCCTTGGCGCGGTGTTATCCGTGAGCTGAGGGGCCTGGGCGGGGCTGCCGCCCCGCTCGGGGCGCTCGGGCCTGCTTCCCCGCGTCGCGGGTGGCCTGGGCGCGGCGCGTTTCTCGCTGCGTTTCGGCCCCCCTTGGCAGCAGGCTGAGGGGCCTAGGGTGGGGCGCGGCCTCGAGAGGGCCACGGCGCCGCCGCCCTGGGGAGCGCGCGGGGGCGCTGCCCGCGGCTCGGCTCCTTTCGGGCTCGGCAGGCGACGGACGTCGCTCGAGGGCCCAGCGCACGGGCCTGGCGAGGTGCAGACGCCCCAGGCCGCCGACGCACCAAAGCACCAAAACACACACACACACACACACACACACAAACACACACACACACACACACACAACACACACACACACACACACCACACACACACCACACACACACACACACACCTGTTTCCTCTCCTGAGGAGGAGGAGGAGGAGGAGGGGGAGGAGGAGGAGGAGGAGGAGGAGAGGAGGAGGAGGACGACGAGGACGAGGAGGAGGAGGAGGAGGAGGAAGAGGAGGACGAGCAGGAGCAGGAGGAGGAGGAGGAGGAGGAGGAGCAGGAGCACGAGCAGGAGGAGGAGGAGGAGGAGGAGGAGGAGGAAGAGGAGGAGGAGGAGGAGGAGTAGGGCGAGGCAGCGTGCCCCGGCCGCGCGCAGGGCGAACATCGGCTTCTACTTGCACGCGCCCTTCCCCTCCGTCAACAGCTTCATGACGATCCCGGTGAGGGAGGAGCGGTCCCCCCTCCGGCAGCACCCCCATCCATCACCACCCACCAAACCACCCCAACCCAACCCGAAGGCCTCAATTTGCCCTCCATTTCCAGTGCGGGGGGGGGACATTGAGGAAACACATACATATGGAACCCGTACCCCCCATCAACCCGAAATTCGGGTCTTCGGGTTGGGTTGGGGTGGTCTGGTAGGCAGTCAATCCACCGGGCGCTTTGGTCGGCGCGCGCGCGCGAGGTGCCAGCATTCTTGCCAGATATTGGGCGCTACGGTCGGACCGAGGTAGATTTACCAGTCTGAAGCGTATCCCTGTCCCTATGTTTGGCATCGCCTTGCCGCGGTGCCGATCTTGAGGAGTTCCGCAGTTTCTAGGGCACATCCCTAAGATCGTGAACGCTTTTTGCCTGCCGATCTCAGGGATAGGGATCAGTTCGAGTCTTGTTATATATGAGATTATGATCCAGGACGGTTCGGGGAGGGGGCCCTAAAGTTCTTCGTGTCTGTTGGACGTTCTTGTGCATCCTGGGGGCGGGTGCCCTTGGAGGTTCTGTGTTTTGGCCAGCGGAGGATCGCATGCTCTTGAGGCTCCGCTGTCCTGGGTCCGATTGTATTCAGAAGGGGGAAACACGCAGACACAAATCATCGTCGATCCCCCGGCAGGCGTGGAATCCAGTTCTGGGAAGCGGAGGGGAAAAGAGGAACATCCAGAGATGTGGGGAGTATGGGAAACCTTTGGATTGCTGCGTCTACTCGGAGGAGGACGAACAGGTACCCGCACTCGAGCTTCTGGGCTTCTGGGCCTCCCTGGTGGACTTCAGGACGTCTCCGTCGTGCTGAGGGCACCTGCTCTCCGCCCGATGTCCAGCAGCTGCGCCTCGCCGACGAGCGCCCGCCGGGGGCGTTCGCGGCGCCCCGAGAGCGGCCGCCGGAGGCTCGAGCCCTGTGGCCCGCAGGCTCGATAGGGGGCGGCGCGAGGGGGAGGGGGTGGTCCTCCAAGAGGGCGGGGGGGGGGGGCTGCCTTTGGGGGGAGGCGGGGGCCTTCTCTCGGGAGGGCCCGGAGGCTCCTCGGAGGCCTCCTCTCGGAGCTCGAGGGGCGGGGGTCAGTGCAAGCGGGGGTCAGCCAGGGCCCCGGATCCTGCAGGATCCTGCGAGGACCCCCTCGGGCTGACCCGGGTGAGCGAGCCGCTCGTGTCCGCGACGCGGCCGCGCACATTGGTTGACCCGGGTTTGCGAAGCCCTCCTCCTCCTCCTCCTCCTCCTCCTCCTCCTCCTCCTCCTCCTCCTCGTTCCTGCATTGCAGCTTTTTGGCTTCCTGCTGGCTAATTTTATGTGTGTGCGTCGCCCGTCCAGGGGCGACGCGCGCAGCGAGAAGTCTTGCGGTGTATTGCTCGTGGCGGGCACTCTCTGGCCACACTGCCCGGGAAGCGATGTGTGTGAGCTGCGGCAGAGGAAAGCAATGAGTGAGCACCTCACCCTCCTGCCCCCCAAGCTCAGAGTTGGCACGCGCGGGGGAGACTGCGGTCGAGGTGCAACTCATCAGACCCATCGCCAACTTTGAACATTGCGGGGAGGGGGAGGCGTTGACAGATGAATGTGGCATGAGAGTGTTCGCCATTTTTTCCGAGGCCTGTACAATGATGGGTATGCTAGATGTTCGGGTCGGACGCGCGCCTCCAAGGTTTGGAAATATAGTGCTGGTTACTGGTATGTCTCTGTGCTTCCCACGTGGGGACTTCAAGGAGCCCGAATATTCCCCCTGTAGAGGGACAGGCCCGACTCAACCCTTGCTCTCTTCCATTCATTTTCCGTTCCCCCAGCTGCTTGGAGGGCCGCTCCTCTCGCGCGCCCCGCCGCGTCGCGCGACGATCTCGCGTTCCATGGGCCGTCGGCAAGGCTTGCGCGCGTTTGCGGTGCACCACATCTGATGGGCCTGTTCTCCACCACCACCACCATAAGTTGGAGGGGGGAGGGGGTCCTCCCCCTCTTCTTCTTCTTCTTCTTCTTCTTCGTCTTCTTGTTATTGTTTTTATTATTATTATTATGTTTTTTTCTCATTATTCTTTTTATTATCATTATTATTATTACTCTTCTCATTATGCTTATTATTAGTATCATGATTATGTTTATTATTATTGTTATTAGTATTTCTATTATGCGTATTATTCTTATTATTATTATTCTTATTATTTTTAATTACTCATATTATTAGTATTATTATTATTGTTATTATTCTTATTACTCTTATCATTATTCTTCTTCCTCCTCCTCCTCGTCCTTATCCTCCACCTCCTTCCCCCCTCCAATTCATGGTGGTGGTGGTGGAAAACGTGCCCATCAACATCAGCTCGGTGGCTTGGGCGCCAGCAGCGGTGAGACTTGCTGCCCCTGCGTGCGAAGTGGGAAAAACGGCATCCACAGAGAAACTCGTTGCGCTCCGCGCGGATTTCTGGGATCGGCGCCTCCGGCGCCGCCCCTGGCGCGCTCCGCGCGCCAGGGAGGGGGGTCCGGCGCAGATCCAAGAAACCCACGCGGAGCGCCAAAAGAGTATGTCTATGGCGTTTCTGCTTCTTCATTTTCTTTTTCTTCTTCTTCTTCTTCTTCTATTTGGGTGTCGGTACTGATGGAGCGCGCTACCTCTGCGTGCTCGCCGAAGTTGGACATCGACCATCGCTCGATTGTCACGCGAGGGGCAATTTACCTGAACACCTCAGTGGTCGTCGGCCCGGCCCACCGCCGTGCCTGTGTCGTGGACGAGGGGCCTCTCAGAGGCCCTCCTTGGAAGGCCTCCTGGCAGGCCTCTTGGGGGCTTCTCGGGGGGCTCTCGGGGGGCTCTGGTGGTGAAGTCGGGCATGTTCCAATACAGGAGGAATAGCCAATAATGGTACAACAATAGCCTGGTGACGACTGTCCGTGCTCTTTTGATTACTTTTTTAAACTATTGCGAAGGCCTTACGGCCGGTGCCGCCGACGACGACGACGACGACGACGACGACGACGGCAACGATGCCGACGACGACGACGACGACGACGACGACGACGACGACGACGACGACGACGACGACGAGGAGGGGGGCGGCGGCGGCTGCGACGACGACGACGACGCTGACGTGGGTCAGAGCCCTCAAGGATGCTGTTTGGGGTCTCGCGCTCTCGGAGGCCTCTGGGGGGCAGTTTTGGGGCCTCTTGGGAGCATCTTGGGGACCTCTTGGCAGCCTCTTGGGAGCCTCTTGGGGCTTCCTGCGGGCCTTCGGGGGCCTCTTGGGGCCTCCTGGGATCCTCTCGGGGCCGAGGGCTCGAAATGTCCGTTCGGTTCCCCCGTCAGGGCACCCAGTTGGAGACTCTTGGGGCGCGGGCGGGTCTCGTGGAGAACTATTGGGGACTTTGCGGTCTTCCGTGACCGCGCGGGGCGAAGCGTGTCTGGGTGGGAACCTCCCCTTGGACTCCCCCGGGACACCCCCCTCCCCGCAGGGAAGGAATCAAAGGGAAGGGGCTTCCTTTCGACTCCACTCCGACGTTGCTCAATTGCGCTTTGGATGGCGCGCTTCGGGAGGAGGGCCCGGAGAAATGGAACGGAGGACGACAGAGACGACGACTCGAACGGAGGAACCCGACTCGAACGGGGAAGCCCCTCACACAGGCCGACAGGGTCGGAGGATCTTTTATTTTTCTTCCAAAATCCGTCTGTAGGAGGACAGGCCCGACCTTGGAGACCTCTTGGCGATCATCCTGGCGGGCAGCCGGAAGTCCGCTGTGCGGAGATTGGTGTGCGCCGCGTTGTTCATCGTAATTGCTCGTGTGCTTGTCTCGTGGTTTCGCGGCACATCTTTGCAGCCTGGACCGCTGCGCAGGCCTCTTCTCGCAGCGCCTTCTAAAGCCTCGGTGCCAACCTTTATTGTTTCTCGGGCGCCTCTTCCTTCGCCGTACTGGGTCTCTGGCGTGAAGACTCGGTCGGTTTTCTCTCCTGGTTGCCCAGGCGTGCCGTCGCACAGAGGAGTCCCTTGCTCGAAAATGAGGGATGCCACCCACCATGGATGGAGATCTTCGCGTGCGTGGTGCACCGTGACTCCGCAGTGCCAATACGAATTCCACCCCTTCCGTTAGCTTCCTGGCAGCACCGAGACGAGATTAATGATACGGATACTATTTGCCCAGTTGACTCGGCTGCAGCGTGCGAGGGTGACCAGATGTATCTCAGAGTGGGCATGAAACCACAGAGCCCTGATGGGCAACACCGCACGGTGAACATGCAGCCCAGATGCTGAAATCACGACTGCATTGGGTTCGGAAGGGGCTCGCTGGTCCTTAGGTCATTCCGTGGTTGTTCTTCTAGCCCTCCTCGTGCACCTAGGCGCTTCTGGGGCCAAACATGGGCTTCGTTCCTTATTCAGCGTTCCTTCTGGTAGTACCTCGACTGTATTACGTGTTGCAGAAACTGCTACACTGATCTGTCATATTTAGCGGCACGTGCTGTACTTCACAACCCGTCTTTTTGACCCCTTCGCGGAAGGGCGGGACGGGGCTGTAAGGGAGAGGGGGATATGGGGAGAGGGGGCGCGGTGGCCCGGTCATGGAGAACATTGGAGGGTTGGAGGGGGGTAGAACGAGGAGCAGGGGAAGGAGCAGGAGGAGGAGGAGGAGGAGGAGGAGGAGGAGGAGGAGGAGGAGGAGGATGGAGAGGACCTGACGACGAGTAGGAGGAGGAGGAGGAGGAGGAGGAGGAGGAGGAGGAGGAGGAGGATGGAGAGGACCGGACGACGAGTAGAAGGAGGAGGAAGAGTAAGAGGAGGAGGAGAAGGAGTAGAAGGAGGATGGGGAGGGAGGGGGAGTCGGGAGGCATTCGTGCCAGCTTCGGACGCCCCATCTCTCCCGACAGCCACGGGAGGAGCTGCTGACAGGCATGCTCGCCTCTGACCTCATCGGCTTTCAGTTCTTCCCCTACGCTCGCAATACGTTGAGGCTGTAGCAGAGTGTCCGCCTTCCCCATCCATCTCCTCTTGTTCGAGGCTGGTTTTTATCCATATCCACCGCCTGGGAGATCGATCCTCGCGGACCTCCACAGGCGGTGGATATGGATATATTCGGGCCCTCGGGGACCGAAGTATATCCAGATCCACCGCCCGCTGGGGCACCGGGGCGCCGGTCCCCAGGCGGTGGATCTGGAGAAGTCCCTGCCTCGAATCCTGGGAAGTGCGGAGTTGCGGAGGGCGGTGCCGAGCGAGGCGGGTGCTGCCGCGCGGCGGCGGGGGGGCAGCCGTGGCCCCGGCGGCAGCAGGGAGACGCGCGGCCCTTCTGCGGACAGGGCCCCTCTCCGGTCTCCGGGCACTGCACAGCAAGCACAGGCACAAGGAGGTGTGGGAGGCTGGGCGAGGGCCGGCAGATCCGTGGCTGCCAAAACGGTCTCCCCGGGAGGGAACAAACGTATGCCAGGAATGAAATTCTCAGCGCACTAAAAATGGTAAACAGGCTGCTTCCCGGAAGAGAAGCAACAATTTCCCAGAGCTCCGTTGTAGCAGCCACGGGTTTCCCAGCTTTCGCCCGGCTTCTGAAAGTGGATTTTTCGAGAGAGAGCCCTTCGGGGGAGAGCCCACCGACCTCGACATGAGCGCTCTGGTTGTGGTTGTGGCCGATTCGGCCGTCCTGGGACGCCACGTCGACCACGACCAGTGCGATGCTCGTATCGGTGTTCCAGCAGTTTTGGCATGCGCAGGACCTCCCCCAGAGTGTGTCCCTGATGTGGGTGCAGTCGCGCGTGGTCCCCGCATGGTCAAGTGTTGCTCAGGAGGGAAAAGCACACACACAGACACAATTAATCGTCGACTCCCAGGAAAATATGGGGAGTGGGGGGGAAGATAAAAACCCTGAAAATTTTGGAAATATGGGGGATCCTGTTATTTGTGTGTATTTATTTGTGTGTCCCAGTGCCCCTTCGGGTCTCCAGCAGAGTCTCGAGCCCCCACCACCCAAAAGCGACCCAAACCAAAAGCCCTCGCCAGCAGGAGCGGAACGGCGGCCAGGCTGCCCGCGCACGCTTACGATATTCGCAAACATTAGAGGTTGACACCGACATCAATATCGGCGTCGTGCCTCCATGGACGGACGAAGATCCTGATCTCGGTGATGGTGGCAATCTTCTGGCTTCCAAGGTGGCCGAACTGTTACCACCACCGAATTCGAGGGTCATCTTCCCCCTGTGGAGGCAATTCCCTGGCTTGGTGTTGGTGCCCCTTTCCAGGCCTCCAAGATATGGGTTTACTGCATCGTTGCCCCTCATCACTTCGAGACCTCAGTGGCGTCGAAGGGCCTGGGTGGACAAACACCCGTTGGGGCTAGCACACGTTCTCCGGAGGAAAAGGTACCGACGCCGCCACCCTCGCCACCTTGTTCCCCTTTGGGGGCCTCCTGGGAGGCCCTCGTCGCCACCGCCGGATTCGCTTCGAAATTCTGGACAGAACGCACCCCATGAGAGGTCCAGGGAGTAGTGGTATCGGTACCTTCGGGGGCCTTCAGACGGGGGTCAATGCAAACGGGGGTCAGCCAGAGCGCCCGATCTTGCAGGATCCTGCAGGGCCAGGGTCGCATTGACCCTGGCTTGGGTGCAGGATCCTGATGGATCCTGCAGGATCTTGCAGGGTCCTTCGCATTAACGCGGGTTTGGGTGTAGGATCTTGCAGAAGTCTGCAAGGCGTGATTGACCCGGGTCTGGATTGACCCGGTCCACAAGATCCCCGATACCTGTTGGCTTCCCCGGTTGTGAGGATCACCGACCCGAGGAGTGCCGGGTCGAAGGGGCGCGCGCTAGCTTGGCCGCGCCCTCCAACCGTTTTGGGCGTGGCGCGTGCTGATGCAGAGGCCGCGCTCGCACGCTCGACCTGTGTGCTGGCCTTCATTCGGGGCCTGCGTGTTTCTTGTGCTGTCCCCTCCCGTCCAGGGGAGGAACAACAATAGGTATCGACGCCGCTACCCTCCCCTCGCCGTCGCGGTTGGCTTCGCCCCGAAAGCTGGGGCAGAGCGCACTACGGGATGCGTGCACGGAACAGCGGCGTGTCGGTACGGTAGAGGAGACAATGGACACCGCTGCCCTCCCCTCACCGTCACGGTTGGATTCGACTTGAAAGCTGGGTCAGAGCGCACTTCGGAATATGTGCACGGAGCAGCGGCGTCGGTACTGCAGAGGGAAACAATCAATGGCCACTCCCCATGTCCCCAAAAATTGAAGTTGGCACGCGTCCAGGAGGCTGCAGTCGAAGTGCAACTCATCAGACCCACCCCGCCAACGTCAGACATTGGTGGGAGGGAGAGGCGTTGACAATGAATGTGGCATGAGTGTTCGCCATTTTTCCGAGGCTTGTATTTGTTGTTTCCCGTCCCGTCCCCCGCTCTCCTCAGACTCTGATCTTGCCCGCGTTCCCGACTCCTCATACCGGCCTCGCCATCGTAGCCACCCAGGCCCCCTTTTCTCGCCCCCGCCACCCCATGCCTGCCCTGGCCGCTCTCGGCCCCGAGGCCGCCGCCTCCTCCTCCTCCTCCTCCTCCTCCTCGCCTTCCTCGCTCTCGTCCTGTTCCTCGCTGCTCTTTCCTCTTCCTCGAGGAGGAGGAGGAGGAAGAGGAGGAGGAGGCGAAAGAGGAGAAAGAGGAGAAAGAGGAGAAAGAGGAGGAGGAGAGGAGGAGGAGGAGGAGGAGGAGGAGGAGGAGGAGGAGCGTGCCGTTTTCTGCACAGCTTTTGTGCTTTTTCACCTCCGGCTTGTTTGATGATACGCCGTTCAGGCCCCATTCGACCGCTGATGGTCCACCTCCTGCCTTCTCCTCCTCCGCCCCTTGCCCCACCTTCCACTCCGCGACCTCCGCCTCCTATCGCCTGCCGCCCACTTCCCTCCTGCGATCACGGTCCCCCCCCCTCCTTCCACGTCATCCCCGCCTGCCGCCTTTCGCGCCATCCCTCGCTCCATCCTCTCTCGTGCCTCGTGCCTGCAACGCGTCGACCATCTCTGTAGCAGCAATCTCCAGCAATCTCCTCCCTCCCCGTTCCTCTTAATTCAAGAGGCTTGCAGTCGGGCCGCTGAAGAAGGAACCCTTTTCGTTGGGGAGGGGCTCAATGCTCCTAACGGTTTTGTAGTTTTTCTCAGGTTGTCCTCAAGCCTTCTAGGGGAGATCGAAATTGAACTTATGGAAAATGGCCTCGTTCCTTCTTTAGGGTTCCTTATGACAGCGCTTCGACTATACGCCATTCCGCCGACAACCAGGAGGCAGGCGTGTGGCACTCCCGCAGTTGTCTGCGGCAAGTCCCGCCACCGAGCATGGCTTCCGGATGAAGAGCTTCGTGGATGCCTGTGGGGGGTCTCTTGAGAGGCTTATGGGGAGCTTCTTGGAGGAAATTTTGGAGGTATCTTGGGGACCGTTGGGGAGCTTTTCATCCCTTCGGGCCTCTTGGGGACCCTTTGGGGGTTTGTTTTATGCCTCTTGGAGGCTTCTTGGGGCCTCCTGGGAGGTTCTTGGACGCCTGTTGCCCGTATTGGGGTCTCTCGTGGGGCAGAGGGCTCGGAACGTCAGTTCGCGTTGCCCCTCTTGGGGCCTTGTTTGGATCGTCTTGGGCTCATCTTGGGCCGTTTTGGGACCCCCTTGGGGGCGTCTTGAGCCGTCTTGGAGCGATCTCGGGGACATTGAATCGTTCTGTACGCCGTCAAGACCAAAAAAGGCGAGTGCGCTAAACAAGTTAGTCTCCCTAAAAGATTGGGGCGATGTTTGCCTCTTGGTGCCCTGTTGGGGTCCTCTTTTGAGCTTTCTTGGGGCCTCTTTGAGACCTTTTGGGTCGTCTTGAAGCCAGATGGCATCTTGGGCAGCTTGGAGGCCACGGAGTGTAGATTTAGAGCTCGGGAAGTCCCAGGGGTGCGTTGAGGAGTTCGTACCCCCTGCCCTCACACGCGATTTCAGACTACGGGGGAGGGGGAACAGGGGTGGGACAGCCGCATATCTCACACGCCTTTTCATCCCCCAGCAAAGCTGGGGTCGGCGGATTCCCTTCTCTTCCCTTCGCCCTCCTTCCCCCCTCAGCTCTCCCTCGTCCCCTCCTCCCCCCTCCCTCGTCCCTCCTCTCTCAGCGCTGTGGACTTGAAGAGCTGACACCAGCAGTCGACTTTCGTCGCCCCTCCGGCACACAGGCAGTCACAAGCCGCGGCCGAGCACCCCAGAATGGGGTTGGATGGATTTCTTCCTCGCAGTGAAGCGCATTCTCGGGCTGGACCCCCAGTACCAGGATGCTGCGAATCAGATATTTTTTGTTGCGCTGGGCTGCTTGCCGGCTGCTGGGGGCGGGCGGTCGATCACCAGGGAAAGCGTGGCGCAAGTCATCGCAGATGGACACTTGTTGTAGCGGTTGCATCTCTTTGGCGCCCTTCGGTGCCATTGCAGGGTTGTCTGTCAAGAGTTGTTTGTGCGTTCAGTGTTGCCACCGGCAGGGCAGAGCGCGTAATCATCGTGCCCGTGGTTTTTCGACCTGCACCGTGCCGTCGCCATGTTGCTGCACCCCTCGGGGTGGGTCCAGCGGTGTGGTGGAATGGCGTCCTTTGAAACCTCTTTTTGCTGCAGGCCCGAGCAGCGGGACCTCGCCCTCCTTCTGGGTGTGCCGCCGGGCGTGCTGCCGCCTCCGAACTCTGCGCCACCTGAGAGGCGCAGCGCAGATGGCAGCGGGACCTCGCTCCCCCATGGTGCTGCCAGGCGGTCAGCCGTCGCCACCTGTGGAACAGACAGTGACATCAGCCTGAGAACTCGGAGGCCCGCGCGGACTCCTCGGGTCGGCGCTGGACTCCCCCTTCCTGGCGCGCAGAGTGCGCCAGGGGCGGCGCCAGAGGCGCCGCGAGGGCGGCCCAGCGCCGATCCGAGGAGTCCGCGCGGACCTCCGATTGTTTATGATGATGCCAGTGTTGTTCCGCCGAACTCGGCCACGCGCAGAGGGGGTAGGGGGGGAGGGGGAAGGCTTCTTAGAAGTACCTCTGCTTCTTAGGAGGCGCGGGCCTGAGCTGTAGATGTAAGGCCGGCGCTTTCTAAGAAGCACCCTCCTTCTAAGAAGCCTTCCCCCCTCCCCCTGCCCCCCTCTGCGCGCCGGCAACTAACTTCGCCGTGCCCGTAGGAGGGGGTCTGGCGGGGTGGCGTCTCGCGCGGATGCCACGAGGCGTGGCTCTCACTGGCTGGCCGCATGGGCGCGCTCTTCTCTCCTCCTCCCGTTGCCGCTGCCGGTGCTGCCGCTCGTCGCCGAGGCCGCCGCTGCGTGCGGTTTGCGGCAGCGGCCGGGGGCGCGGGGCGAAAGCAGAGCAGCACCGCCCACAGCCCGGGGGGTACATGTGCCTGGACTACAACGGGCGCCAGGCCCACGTCAAGGTGTCGCACTTCGTGTACCCCTTCCAGGCGATTCTCGGGGGCGCGGGGGAGGAGGGAGGGGGGGGGTCATGATCTCGCGGAGGGCGTGGCGGTGGTGGTCGAGGAGGAGGAGGAGGAGGAGGAGGAGGAGGAGGAGGAGGAGGAGGAGGGAGGCGGAGGCGGAGGAGGAGGAGGAGGCGGCGGAGGAGGAGGAGGAGGAGGAGGAGGAGGAGGAGTCGGAGGAGGAGGAGGAGGCGGAGGAGGGGGGAGGGGGAGGGGGAGGTGGAGGGGGAGGGGGGGGGGAGAGGAGGAGGAGGAGGAGGAGGAGGAGGAGGAGGAGGAGGAGGAGGAGGAGGAGGAGGAGGAGGAGGAGGAGGAGGAGGAGGAGGAGGGATGGGATGGGATGGGATGGGATGGGATGGGATGGGATGGGATGGGATGGGATGGGATGGGATGGGATGGGATGGGATGGGATGGGATGGGATGGGATGACGAAGCTGGGATGGGGGAGGGGGGAATGGGGGAAGGGGGCATGGGGATGAGTGTGGGGAGTTCAGAGGCGCCCAAACCTCCCAACGCACGTGTACGTGATGACCAGTAAGTTCGAAAGAAGGGAAGCATGATTCTAGCATCCAATGTGAAGTTCGAACCTCCATTCTGGAGTCTTTCGCCTCTGGGTGGGACGAGGAGGAACGAGGGGTGGCATAGGCTCGAATTGTGAGCGGCAGAGATTGCGGGATAGGACTTGGAAAGGCAGGTTTGGGCAGGGCGGGGAGGCGCCTGATTATTTGCTGCAGCTCGCCCCCTGTTTGGGCAGAGCGCACGAGGAGAGGGGAATACGAGGTAGAGGGAGGAGGAGGAGGAGGAGGAGGAGGAGGAGGAGGAGGAGGAGGAGGAGGAGGAGGAGGAGGAGGAGGAGGAGGAGGAGGAGGAGGGGTGGTCCCGCGTCCTGCGCGGGAGAGGCTCGTGCTCCTCGCCCGCGCGGGGCTGGGCTGGCGGCGCATGGGGCCCGTGCTCCAGTGCGCGCCCGCCTGTGCCGAGGGCGGGGCTCGTGGCCCCGCTCTCGAAGTCGAGCCGCACGGCGAGGCCTTAGGCGAGGGGCAGGAGGAGGAGGAGGAGGAGGAGGAGGAGGTAAGAGGAGGTAAGAGGAGGTAAGAGGAGGAGGAGGAGGAGGAGGAGGAGGAGGAGGCAAGAGGAGGTTGAGGATGAGGATGAGGACGCAGGAGGAGGAGGAGGAGGAGGAGGAGGAGGATGCAAGAGGAGGAGGGTCCCAGTGCAGCGCCGTGCTGCGACCGGGGCGGCGGTGTGGAACGACCCTGTAGGGCGGAGGGAGGCTGAGGAGGCGGCGAGAGCGCAGGAACCGGAGCGGCCCGCACGCGCCACCCGTGGCCGAGAGGACACCAAGCAGGTGGTGGACCAGGGCAGCGTTGCCACGAAGGTGGCCGAGGTCACCAAGCTGTTCCTTGGGAGGAGCGGCCCCGGGGGCTCCACGGGCCTCGGCGGCGGCCGAGTCCTTACAGAGAGAGTCCATACGGAGTGCTCGGTCTCCGTATGGACTTGCGCCGTCTGGGCTTGGCCTCTCCTGAAGGCCGAGGGTGGGAGCCGCCCTGGCTCGCAGAGACGACGGCGTGGTGAAGGCACACGTGGGGCCTGCCAGGAGTCAAGCTGCAACAATAACAGCAACAACATCAACAGCAACAGCAACAGCAACACCATCAGCAACAGCAACAGCAACAACAGCAGCAGCAACAACAACAATAGCAGCAACAATATCAGCAACAACAGCAGCAGCAGCACCCAAAGCAGCAGCAGCAGCACCCAAAGCAGCAGCAGCAGCAGCGACAGCAGCAGCAACAGCAACAACAGCGACAGCAGCAGCAGCAAAAACTACAAAAACAACAAGAAAACAAGTACAACAAAAAAGCAGCAACAAGCTGCGTGAGCATGAACCTATGAACCTTCGGAGCTCCGGATCGGCATTGGGCCCCTCCTGGCGGCGCCTCCTGCGCCACCCCTGGCGCGCCCCGCGCCCCAGGGAGGAGGGCCTGGCGCCGGTCCAAGGAACAGATCCGCGCGGACCCCCGAGAAGTTCTGTGCATACAATGTTGCGGCACCCCCGCTGAGGCCCTTCCGCTGGCGCAGACGACCCCCGCCGCGCTGCCGGCGCAGAAAGCGTGTGCAGTTCTCTGATCCTGGGAAGCTGGACACGCAGGACGCGGCACGCCTGGGCGAGGGCTTTCACGCGTGGCCGCACGTCTCTCCGGCTCTCGGCCCTCGAGTTGGCCGGGCACGGCGGTCTTCCGCGCGTGCACCCCCGCGTAGAACCCGTTCGTGATCCTCGCTCATGTGGGTTTCCAGCTTCCCCGTTGGTGAGGCTTCGGGCTGCGCGCAGGCCCCCCCTCCCCGGCAGTCCTGGCTGGCCTCCGGAGGCCTCCCACGCGGCCCCGGGTGGCCTCCGAGCCTCGGGCTGCAGCGCCCCAGCAGCGCCGCCAGAGGCGGCGCCAGGGTGCTGCGACCGCCCAGGACTGCTCGGGGGGCCGGTCGGGGCCAGCCGTGGCTACTTCGGGTAGCTGTCGGTGCGCGGCGGGGGCATCTCGGTATCCACCGCCCGGCGATGTGAACGTCCCGGGCCCCAGTTGGCGGTGGATGCAGATATGTTTTGGCCCCAGAGGGGGCCGAACGTACTCACATCCAGGGCCTACCGAGGTCGCCGAAGATCGATCCCCCAGGCTGTGGTCATGGGTCGAATCCCCCTTGCCACGGCGGCCGCAGCGGCTTTACCTGCACGCTCTCTCTCTCTCTCTGGTTACGGGCATCCACGGGCAGGGTGAGAGCACGCTGCTGGCGCCGCGCCGTGGCATGTGCCGTGGTGCGCGCCTGTGTGGTGCCGCTGGCCGCGTGGTGCCTTACTGGGGCTTTTTGGCGCGTGCTCTTCGGGGTGTCCTTCCGAGGAGGATCCTGAGATCGGGGCGTTGTTTTTTTCACACCAGACGTTTTCGCCCAGTGTCGGGACCTGGAACCATCTCAGATCGATCAGGCTCGACAGACCGTAGAAGGATGGGGTCTAGAGTCTCGGGTCTTGTCGTGATTTCTCGCGATGTTGTAATTGTTCACAACGCCGGATCTCCGCTGCCAATACCGTTGCTCGTCCTGGAGAGCCCTCTTCGCCACGGCCAGATTCTCCTCGGAGTTCTCGTCAGAGCGCACCCCGAGAGATGTCCGGGGAGTAGCGGTATCCGTATCCCTTTGTTCCCACATTCTTCTTGGTTGTGAACTCGAGTGCGGTAGGTTCGCGACCCCAGCGCGGGGTCTCAAAGTTGAATGCCGCCAGTGGCCCAGAATCGCCAATATGGAACGACTTGGCAATCAAAACCTTGCGGGTCGTTCAAGATTGATCTATCCACGCGGTTTCAGAAACCAGCGTTGTGGCCGTCACGATACGAGCTTGCCCTGCTTCTGTTGCGTGCGTCTCCACATTCCCTCGCCTTCTCTTCCACTCTCTCTTTCTCTCTCTCTCTCTGTCTGTCTGTCTGTCTCTCTCTCTCTCTCTCTCTCTTTCTCCGAAGGCGGGCAAATGGAGGCGGCCCAGAGACGGCGCGGATTGGTGCAATGCGACATTCACGGACGTAATCGAGGTCGGTTTGTGATTTCGGGTGGGTTTTCTCCAAGGGAATCTTCGTGCAGCCAGTGCAAGCATTTGAAATGGGCTGTGGCAGAAGCCAGGGTCCAGACTACAACGTCAACTGGCCACACCACACCGTTTGCCCGTCTTCGGTTTTTGATTAATTTTGACTCTTGGGCTTACGCCATACCGCCGACTCCTTGCAGCCTTCTTGGGTCGCTATCGTGTTGTCTTGGAGGTCTCTGGGGCTGTATTTGGCACTTTCTGGGGCCTTTTCGAAGGCGTTTTGGCCTGCTTGGGGGCCTTCGTTGTCCGTCCCGGGGCCGTTTTGGGCATCCAGGGGCCGTCTCGAGGCAGAATCGTGGATTTCTTGGCCCATTTTGAGCCCCCCTTCAGGCCGCCTTTGGGAGAGCACCTCGGTGGCTCACTGGGCCGTCTTAGGTCTTATAGACCACCCTGGATGCCTCTCGTGGGCCTCTTGAGGTGTCTCGGGGGCTTCTTGCGCCGTCTTGGGAGCTTTTGAGGCAGTCTTCGGGGCCTCTCAAAGGCAGTGCAGGCCGTGTTTGGGGCCTCTCGGGGGCGGAAAAAGAGAGGAAGAGGATGGGGAGGGGGGGGGGGTTGGGAAGGGGAGGGAAGAGGAGGAGGAGGCGGAGGAGAAGGAGGGGGAAGAGGACGTGGAGGAGGAGGGAGTAGCTGCAGCAGCAGCAGCAGCAGCGGCAGCGACAGCAGCCCCCCTCACGCTCGTCGTGGTCGGCCTCCTCCTCCGCCCTGCCCCGGCAACCTCGACGGCGTAGGCGACGACGCGCCCCCCCCCCTGGCGGAGAGGACCCTGTTCGCCGGCATGGACCGCTGCGACGGGCTGTCGGGGCTGGCCCCTGCCCCGGGCCGACGCGCCGCCACGCATTCCGCGGGCAGGGGGAGATGGGGCGGGGGGCCGAGGTTTCCGGTTGCTCGGCTTTTCAGCGTGCCCGTTCCACGGGGGGCCCTCGCGCTGCAGTTCTGGACGCGGGCGAGGAGGAGGAGGAG